TCCGGTACGGGCGCGACACTGAGGGTTGCGATCCGTTGCCGGACACGAAAAAAGACAAAAAGGAAAAAAAAAAAATTTTTTTTTTTTCAAAAAAAAGCAAATTTAAGGTTAACATTTATTAAAACAAACAAAACAAGAAACTTATGGAAAATTAAATAACTTTGATTTAAAACAATCCATGAAATACAGACCACCTGCATCATTTATCAGTAATTACTTTAAAAATAAGATAAATATTTTGGTAATAACACAAGGCAAACTACAATAAGTGCTATAAGTAATATATGATTAAAGTGAAATAACAAAAAGCAGAGTTTAAATTTTTATAATGTGCCCTTTACTATTTTACTACACTTTCTATAAACAGAATTTGCTAGACTCAAAGATTACTGCAAAGTTATCTTAAACCTTGGGAAAATATTCAGAGTTGAAATAGGACAACATAGGATGGAACCACTACATAACATGCTTTTATAACTAAGTGATCATTCCTTAACATTATATAACTTGAACTGTAAGAGTCACGTTCAGTTTTTTTCTGTGTTCTTTTATAAAGTCTAACCTGTAACCATGACAGTGCGAATGTTGGCTTTATGCAAATCTTCAAGTACTGCAGGGGTTTCTTGCTTTAATTTGTTCTGCATTATAATTAATCCCATAAAATCCATGTTGTTTTCAATGGCATCTCTGCAGAAAAAGAAGTTTTAACACATAATGGTTTAGTCAAGAGATCAAATATTGTTCACTTTATGTTGATAAAGCAATTTAAAATATCTATTAATCACAAGTTAAAACATTTTATATGCTGAATAAACCATGTGTGCATTTATGAGTTCAATACTACAAAAAGTTTAAATCTGGAAACCCCAAGAAATGTATTTTTGAAATTAAATTTTACCCTTTGTCCCCCACATCATGGGCAGGAGGAGGGACAATCAACCTTGTATCTCATGAATATTTGAAATAAATAAATAAATTTTACCCTTTGAAACATAAAATGTAAAGAATCATTTGGAAATGAATACCTTCATAAAACACTAAACAATTCTACTTCTAAAGAATATTCACCTTGTACTCTAAAACTGCATAAGCATATATCTATTCTTTACTGTCCCCCATAAAATATACCCTAACTTAAATGTTAAAAGAAAAAGAAAATACTGTACTATATGCACATTTGATATGATTATAGTAGATTCATTACCAAGTCTTTAATGAATTCTATAAAACAATTCTTGATCCTGGAAATGTGACACAAGAACCATTAGCAGCCTAACAATGAGATCTACTCAGGACCCAGTGATAGGTCTTTCAGAATATTAACAACTAATATAGTTACCAACAGGCTATTCTTCAAATAGCTGAATATCTACTATGCACCATGCACTATGCTAGTCTCTGGGAGGTCAAAGATGAAAAGGCATGATCTCTACTCTCAAGATGCTTTTGTGGGGAAACAGACATGCAGCCAGAGAGATAAATGTGAAAATAACATGTGCCTCAGCACTACAATGGAGATGAAGTCTGTTCACGGATAGCTGCATTCGTAAGAATTCTCAAGCTACTAAATTTATATCACAGAAATATTTTTCTTCAATGGGAAAAGAGGGCTTCAGGGTAGAAACTAGAATTTCAGACTTGCAATAACCAAGTGATTTTTCTACATAAAAATTCAATAATAAAGGTGCTTGAAGTACACACCTATGAAACCTAAACATCTTTGAAATATATATCTATAACAATGGGTGATAAAGATATTAAAGAATTGTTAGGAAACTTAAAATATAAACAAGACTGCTGGTAGTAACGGAAGAAAAACATCTTGAAATCTGAAATTGCATTTCAAAGCACAAAGCTATACCAATATGAAACTACTGGGTCAAAAGCACTGAGCCATTTTCCTACGAGGCACTAGTTTCTGGCTTCAGCTGGTTTCTTAACTCTCATGGAAATCTTGCCCTCTAATTAATGAATAGCATAACATTCAAGATATAAAGGTTTAAGCTATAAGAGAAATGCTAAAACTTGCCTATACAAGGTAGAATGGAACAAACGTAGAGAAGGTCTCGGGTGAAGGATGAGGAGGAAGGAGAGTAGAGAGAAGGAGAGAGGAAAGTTGGTAGGGAGGGATAGAGTATTCTAGGCAGAAGGAACAGCCTATCCAAGGGAAGGATGTCTGAATATGACAGGCTCAAGAATCATAGACAATTTAGCAGTCTTTAAGGAGGAAAATGGCAAAAGGTGAACTATAAAGACAGAAGAAAATTAGTGCCCTTTCTAGGAATTGGGATGTATATTACACATTTGTGGTTCCCAACCATGCATATGTATCAGATCTCTCAGGTAGAGGTTTTTGAGTTTTGAGGGTTTTTTCTTTAATACTCATAATTAGACTACCTCCCCTAAGCTGGCGGAATTAGTAGGACAGCCAACGGATATTTCTTTTTGCTTACAAAATGCTAGGTACATCATGAAATATTCCTAAACAAAAACGCTATCCGCAAAGGGTAGGTCCATATCAGGTACAGCAAAAGTAACCATCCTTGAATGTGAAACCCATATTTATACATGGAAGGAAACATGACATTGGTAGTGCCATTTAACTTGCAGGGGTGGGTTGGGGAGGAGTAGATAGTTTTGGTTACTGTGACTCATGATACTCTGACCAAATTTGTACCTGGATCCAACCACTGGGCAAAAGCAAAAAGATCACTTGGGAAAAATAAAACTTCTATAGAATTATGTTTACTTTTCCTAGAACATGCCTGACTCATAAGAAGCAATCGATAAATATATAACAAACTGAAAACAGTTCCAGGGCCAGCCCCGTGGCTCACTCGGGAGAGTGCAGCACTGGTGGTGCCAAGGCCGCAGGTTCGGATCCTATATAGTGATGGCCGGTGCACTCCCTGGCTGAGCGTGGTGCAGACCATACCATGCCAAGGGTTGTGATCCCCTTACCAGTCAAAGAAAATAGTTCCAAAGAGTTGTGAGGAAAAACATGTAATATTATAATAACACAAGCAAACACAGGCAAATAGTCAATACAGAATGAAAGGAAATTAATGGGGGAAAAAATGTACTTTTTTTACTCCAATCACTTAAAACAATATTGCATTATATATATTTGCATACATTCAATAAATATTTAATAAATACCCAACTATGTGCAAATTTTTGTGCATGACTTATATAAACATAAATGATGTGTTACTGGAAAAACTATAGGAAAACCATTCAAACTTACCTGCTAATATTCTGTACTTTATGCCATGTCAGTTTTGACTCCAATTTTCTGTGTGCAAGAGCAATCACTCGGAAGCCCTGTTTAGTGTAATCTTCTAAAACTTTTTCAAAATCAACAGGAACTTTTTAAAAGAAAAAGTAAATTTCATTGTTAGACTTGCTAACACAAGCTTATTCAAATATCAGAATTTTATCCGAAGCCTAGTTATTTCCTTACCTGTTTCAGGTTTACAAAGACTGGCAATGACCTCAGGTGCTCCTTTCATGTAGGCATCCATTTTCTTATCCCCTAGCACTCTTGCAACCACACTCATACGTTGCAAAGCAGAAGAAAACGGGAACTGGCGAACAATTCCTATTTCATAAATAGCCTATATAATTTCAAAAGATGCACAAAGCATTTATTATTCTTTAAGAATAAAAACAAATGTACTTAGGTAACAAGTAAACTTTCTTCACTTACTGTAAGTTCAAACAGCTCCTAAAAACAAAACAAAAAAAGAATAAAGAAATAGTACACATTAAGTTCATTAACATACTAAAGTTAGAAAAAATTTTCTAAGCACCCACAAAACATTATTTGGAAAATAACACGAAGCTTTGATTATTTCAAAGTCAAATTCAAAATTCCTTCTCTATTAAATCCCATTTTAAAAAGTATGTTTTTGAACATTTTCAAATAGTCTGGTTTCCTGAAAATATTAGCAAATTAAGCACTAAAATAAACTAACAGGAACATATTAAATAATTAACCTAGAAATAAATCCTTCCATATATTTTTATTACATTCTAGGAAGACAGATATGATCTAAAAGGATTAATCACCATGTACATAAAACACAAGGCACTAAGCTGATCAGTAAATAGGGGGAAAAAAGTAATGGTACTGGGAATTAAATTTCAACACTTTACAAAGAATGCCAGCAACACCTCAATGGTGTAGTTTCTGATAAACACAGTTAAAATATTCACATCTGCATAAGAGTTAAAGGACATGTAAGACTTCCTCTTCTAGCAACATTTCAAAATAAGAATTAAATATAAGTAAGCATCAACAGAATTATCTAACTTTAAATGATTTCACACCATTTCTTGGTTTCCTGCAGGTGTAGATTCAGGAAGCAGTTGTTTGGGAGGACGAACCACAGTGGGCATAATTCGATTATGAAGTGCTGTTTCTTCTTCGGTTGCTTCTTCCAGAATCTGAAAGGAAAACATCAACACACTTGCCTCATAGAATTCAATTCACTGGTTCCATTTTTAAACAGAACATTAGGGCCATTTTTGGTGAATTAAAAAAATTACTGTTCAAGGAACAAATGAGCATTACTAGATCACTAATATAAGTAAAACAAAATATAAACAAAGCTAGTTAGATACCTAGCAATCCATGGGATAGGGGAGACAGAGGTTAGAAGCCACAAAAAGAGACAAACTTCTCTCACTTCACTCCTTCAACCTGTTGGGTTTAGAGACTCTCTCCTAAAAGAAAAGGTTCTTACAGTTCCAAAATTTTCAGTCTATCATCCAGGGATTCCTTTCTGATAATAGGAAAGGGTTCAAAAGTATACAGAGTTCAGATATGGTTAGTAGAATCACTGGGTGGAAAACAGGCTGAAGTACAAAGATGTGAGTTTAGAGTTTCAGCCTGAACACTACTAGTTAAACTACTACTACATTAACCCCTTGAAATTTATTTTAAAACTTTTTTTTTGGGGGGGGGGGGAATTCAAACAAAAAAATTGTATTAAACACATACAAGAGAAACAAACTATTTTGACTCTATAACTGGAAGGATCTATCCATGAGAAAATGATGGGGAGGGAAACATAAGCAATTAACCAATTTTGTACAATTCTAAGACATTTTTTTTTCACATTTTAACAACTCTGAAATTGGGATGCATCTTACATTATATGATGTGAATCATATAAAGTAGCAGTTATGCCTGGTTTGTGAAACCATTCCATTGATACTTAAGATCTGGTTATTGTCAAGCTCCAAAGCATCTGGTAAACATCAAAATACTTTAGGGCCAACAAAATATCCTATTATACAAACTTACTTAGGCAGCCAGTTTTTTAAAAGATCCATAAACATTCAAAGCTAAATCTACTGAAAATCTATTCAGTTGGAGAAAAGCTTTAGAGGACATCAAAGATAAATCAGCCCTATTTCTCTCTATAAATGAAGCGAGGCCTCCTTCTGTGAATTAAATTTCAAGAGTCAGGTTTTTGGAAGATGGCAGTTAGAACACTTGTCATTCACTTCCCTCCCTTTCAAAATGTTAACAAAAGAAAGAAAGAAAGAGACAGAGAGACACAGAAAAAAAGTAAAAGTAACAGAAAGCAAAGCAGGAGAGGGGATATCAAATACAGAGGGCAAACTAAAACATACTGATTGATGTAACTGAAACATACTGATTGATATAACCGTGAAAGGAAACAGTAGCCCAGAATAAACACACGAGGATATCAGGAGAGGTAGGAACATTTCTTATCGGCCAGAATACCTGGGCTAAACAAAACAAAATAAAAAATCAGGGACTCTACAGAGATATCAACTACCCGTCTGAGAGGAGTAAGGGCTGTTCCTATGAGGGATATGAGGGTTAGCATTCCAGAGTAAAAAGCCCTGCCTGTGAAAGCATGGTGAGAGGAGGTGAGGAAAGTAACTGAAAGACTAACTCTGCAAATGTTCCTCTGAAACTGAAGAATGCCTATTGATGAGCCCCCACCCTGGACACACAAGAAGTCCCCCCAGTCAGCCATCCCAACTGGGGAGACGCTTCTCAGGAAAACAGACTAACACACATATGGGCAAGGATAAAAACCTCACTGCAAGTAACTAGAATTATCAAATCAGACCCTCATTCTTGAATAGAAAAGTATCATCCACGTGTACAACGAAAACCAAAAGCATGAAAGAGAGAGAACAAGCATAGGAAGGAAAAAAAAAAAACAAACCAGGCTGACCAGTTACCTCACTTGGGAGAGTATGTGCTGATAACACCAAGGCCAAGGCTTTGGATCCCTATAACTGACCTCAGAGAAAATAAATAATTCAGAAGCCAGAAGGGAACTTTAAAAACTATTATTACATCTATGAAAGAAGAACTGAATGCTGTAAAATGGTAATACCCAGAAAACAGAAGCAAGCACTTAGAAATTAAAATTACCAATGGCATAAATAGAAGGAAGCTGTAAACAAACCAAAACGTGTGTATGTGTGTGTGTGCGTGTGTGTATACACACAGGAAGTAGAAGATAGGTACAAAAGAACATTGAAGACACTCAATTACTTTATAATTTTTTGCCTGTGGCCAATAAATTGTGTCACTTACGATCATCCTACTGACTTCTGGCCTATGACCCCAAGTTGTTGATACCTAGTTTATCTTTATAAACATAAAGCAGGGACCTGAGCTGGTCAGCCTATATTAAAGGTGTTTAAATGAGTTAATTTAACTAAAACAGACATGTTTTATACAATATAAATATTTCTCCTGTAATGTATCTTTAAAAGTTACAATTTAGTTCCTTTTATGGTACAAGATAGACTGTCATCAGAACAATTAGCAGAAAAAACAACAACAATTAGCAGAAATAATCCTTCCATGACATAATTTCTTTTTTTTTTATTTTTCCTTTTTGTCTTTTTTACTGACCGGTAACGGAATCGCAACCCTCGGTGTCACGCCCGTACCGGGGACCGGCAACGGGATTGCAACCCTTGGTGTTGCGCCCGCACCGCACTCAGCCAGTGAGCGGGAACCGGTCTCCACATGGGATCCGAACCCTCGGCGGGAGCGCCATCGCGCTCCCAAGCGGCGCACTCTCCAGTGCGCCACCGGGCTGGCCCCATAATTTCATTTTTACTATATTTTCCTAAAGTTTTCTTATACTTTAAAATATTAAACTTACCCATCCAATGGCTTCAAACATTTTCAAATCAAGTGGATCACCAGAAAGCACTCCTTCAATTTTTGTAAGTGAATGACAAGTAGCCATACAAGCAACAAACTGAGATTTTACCAACACCTCCTTGCAAACGTTTTCTTCTGGCAAAAGAAATCTAAACAGAAAATACACTTAATTAGATTCATAAATCCTAAGACTCAAGACAATATTCTAACAGGCCTTTTCAGGTTTTGTGATTAAAAGTCTTTTAAATCCAAAGCTGAGCTCGTAAGAAAAGGAAATTTTCAAGCACCAGAAATAGAAAGGAAAAACAGAGGGGTGTGAATATGAGATATTGCTGTGGCTGCTAGTGGAGAATAAGGAAGGGAGGAGGTTAATTACCTCAGTACCCTAAGGACTTGGGTTTTAATACCCACACTGAAACAACAAACAAAATCCTGGCCCCAGGGAAGGGGCAAAAAAAAATATCCTGGCCCCATACAAAGTGGGGGGTTGGCACTGAGAGAATCCCTCTCACTTAAGAAAGCCAGTGATCTTGAAGAGCTATACATACTTGGGAAAGGGTTGACTAGAAAAAAATTTACCCACAGCCCCAAAGGCATACCTAGGAATAAGCTTGTCTCTTTTCCCCCACCCAAAGTTCAAAAAAACAGCTAATATCTATGTATTATTTATTATGCACCAGGCACTAAGAATTTTACATACACTGACTCATTTCATCCTCACACCATAGGGAAGTGTTTTATTATCCCCATTATTGATAAGAAAACTGAAGCAGAGTGGTTAGGTAACTCATCCAAGGTTATAAAGCCCATAAGTAGCAGAGCAAGGATTGAAACACAGGAGGTCTGGTTTTAAGGCCAACCTCTGAACTACCACATTATAAAGGATGGGTTATGGGCTTGAATATATGCTATTGCATGGCCCAGAAATCCCCAAATTACAAGTGTAACATTACAACTTACACGGCACCACTGGTACCACTAGGGCTCTTGGCCAAATAAAATCAAAACTTCTCTAGATGGGAGCTCCCACAATGCAGCCACTAAGAAGTTTCACAGAAAAGTCCTGCTGAGGATGAGTCCATAACTTAAAGACACACTAGGAAACAACTCACCAGGACAGTCAACAGACATAACAAATACGTAATTAGAATCCCATAAATTTGAGATAACAGAATAGCAATCCTGAAGAATGAAAAAAGAAAAAAGGCATTTTTATATTAGACTTAGAAAGAACAAAACACAAGAGGGAAGAAGGGGCAGATTTGGAAAGAGCCAAGTGAATTTTCTTATTCAACATACGGTTAGGAATCCCAGATGAAGAGAAAATAAAGCACAGGGGAAAGGACATAATGGAAGAGAAAGAGGCTGAAAAATTTCCAGAATTTATGAAAAACATGAATCCTTGGAATCAAGAAGCAAAATGAGTCCTATACAAACAAATAAAAATACCATGGCAAAACTGCAGATATTAAGGATAAAAAAATATTTTTAAAGCAACCAGAAAGAAAAGAAATTACTAAAGAGACTAAGACTTCCCAGTAGCAATAACAAAAGGTGTCAAGAGAAAATGGAATGACACCTTAAAAACGCTAAGAGAACACAACTAGAAATCTGTAATTACACCATCACTCAAGAGTGACAGTGAAACAAAACTAATGATGTAGTCCAGAGGAATAGGATACAATGGTTAAGATATTTGTAAACTAAGACAAATCTAAGCATTCAGACTTTATAAAACCAAAATTATAATCATAAACTATTACATAACAAATATATATAAGAAAAGAGGAAAATAGTGTTATAACACCCAAGGTCAAGGGTTTGGATCTTCGTACAGGCCAGCTGTCATAAAAAAAAAAAAAAAAAAAAGGGGGGGG